CCAGACCCCAACACCCACCTCAACCACCTTCCCCCACTGGGAGATGGGTGGAGTCCCAAAGCCCAGCTTCACCACCCCCAGGAAGCCCTCCTGGTGCACCGGCCCTCTACCCCTACACCCAGCATCTCACGGCCAGGGGCCATCTCTCTGCCTGCCAGATGTGGGAGCCCCAAGACCCTGTGTGGGATCCCGGGTGCTCTCCCAGCAGCGGGTGGCATGGGCCCAGCTGGTGGCAGACACCCAGTCCGCCACCAGGGATATCAGGAAGGTCACCTCCATGCAAGGAGGCCACAGGGGCTCTGGCCACACCACTTGGAAACAAGGAAAATGAGGATCGGAGAACCTTGTCGCCAACACCCAGTGATCGGGGTATGTCTGGTCTATATTTTCTGTACTCCTGGTTCTTTGGCATCTGGAGCCTTGCTGACCAGGAGGGACGGTCCCTCATGGGGTTAGCCAGTTCCCAGAGAGGGCAGACAGTTCACCAGTGGAGGGCACACATCTCACACGCAAAGCAATCGGTCCAGAGCCCATCCCCCGAGCCAGTATCCCCCCCCCACCCTGATCACGCCAGGGCCAGGCAGCTAAGGACAGCGCACTGTCAGTTCCTGGTATTAAGCCTGGAGTGCCGACGTCCCTCTGGAATAAACGAATCGCCAGCTGTAAGACGCGGTGACGAACAGCACAGCCAGATAAGGAATTCGGCTGCCCCCACTCAACGAAGCTCCCTCTTTCAGAAAGCCCTGGGTGACCTAGGTAACCGGCTCTTCCAGCGACCCCACTTCTCCCCTCCTGCCCTCATTCTTGTTCTTACGCATTCAATTCACGGGTAACGGTGACCCCACAAAACCCTGGGCACCCCCACCTGGGACCCTAAGAAAGGCAGAGCCCCCAGTCCACACTCTCTCTTTACCCGTGATCTCGCTGTGTGGGCCCGCGTTCCCTCCAGGACTTGAGTCATCACCCTCCTTTCCTCAAAGTTCCCGGAGAGTCTTTGCTGAAGTGTGCCCTGCGATCATAAGGCGAGCCACAAGGGCCGGCCCGGCGACAGCACTGGCTGCGGACCGCAAATGCCTGTGGGGGCTCACGGGCACAGCACGGGCCCCCCAGGCGGCTGCCGCAGGCGTTCCTAGCCCATGGCATCGCTGCCAATAGCCTGGGACCTGTGTGACAGACAGCACCTACCCCAGAGCCCGCTGACATTACTCAAACTAGCCAATCCCAGGCCTGCTTACCTCGCCTCACCCACCCCTGCCCAAGGGAGCCACAATAAATGTTCTTGCCCACATTCTCCTCCAGCTCCCTCGGGACGCTGAGGCCTCCTTCCCCGTGTGGCCCTGGTGTTCCGCCTCCTTTTGGGAACCGTTCATCTTTTTAAGGGCAGTCTCCTGTTCCGTCGGCCACACCATACCTGCACGATAATGAAACCTACGCTTTTGGGGCACCTGGGTGGCTCAGATGGTTAAGCACCCCACTCTTGGTTTCAGCTCAGGTCATGATCTTACAGTTTGTGGGTTCAACACCCACATCGGACTCTGTGCCGACAGTACGGAGCCTGCTTGGGATTCTCTCTCTCCCCCTCTCTCTCTGCCCCTCCCCTACTCACACACATTCCTACATTTTAAAACTGAGTGGAGCCCAGACCAACCCTGAGGTGCCCAGCTTACACCTCCAGGAGGAAGAAGCCATGATGGATGGCGGTCCCCCAGGACTCCCGGAGGCCCTGCCTAAGCCCCGCTCCTCTGTGCGGGAGCCTGCGGGTGATGCAGACCACCCGGCTGCCCCAGCCCCACTGCCACCTGCTCTGGATCCCAGAAAGCCAGAGGCAGAGCGGCCGAGGGAACACCCAGGGCTGGGTCCCCAAGTCCCACCCTCTCAGGACACTCCACTGTGGAGTAGGGGCTGTAACGGAGCTGCCCGGGCAGAGGGAGACAAGCCCAGAGGCAGGCGGAGGATGTGAAGTAACTTTAATCACCACCCTCAGACAGAGGCAGCAGGAGTGTCTAGTTGGGGCCATCCCCCGGAGCAGCTTGGGGCCAGCCCCTAGGTTCCGGCTGTGACGTGCTCCCGGGCCAGGCTTCCTGCATCTGGGCGAGGGTGTAGGTGCCCGTGACCTCCAGGGCCGCATCTGCAGGAGCTCAGGTCCACAGTGCTGCATGGCCAGAAGAAGCCACGTCCGAGGGCTGATGTGGCCGCAGTGGCCATGCCCAGGGCCCGGGAGACATGGTGGCAGCAGCTCATCCTCAGAGCAGCGAGCTCTTCCTCTCCGACAGCAGCAGGGACTCCTTCACGACCATCAGCAGCCCTAGCTGGTTCAGGCGCCCCCGGGCCCAGAGCCGGGACAACACGAACAGGGAGATGGCAGCCAGACCTGCGCTCAGCACCACTGTGGGGGGCAGACGGACAGGAGTCAGTGACAGCCCCCACACCGGGAAGGGGGGTCTGCGGCCCAGCCCGTCCCTTCCCCAAGCCTTCCCTTGCCCCCCCAGGAGTAGGAGGGCCCGGTCTTCCTACCGGCTGCGGCAATAACCCCACAAGCACTTCGGTTTCCAGACTGGACTGAGTCCTGGTCCCCAAACGAGGTGGCGGTGGCATTCCCAAGATCGGTGACAGTGCCCGGGGCCACAGGGGTCCCCATGGCTGTGGCATTCCCTTCCTGGGGCGTCTCGGTTCCTGCAAGAAGTCCAGGCATTCAGTAGCTGGGGAGTCGGCGCTGAGGGCATGAGGGGCAGGGAGGGACTACACGTGTCCCAAATGCCTGGAGGGACCTTGGGGCGCATCATCTCCCAACCCAGAATGAGTAAGGTCAGTGAGCACCGCTGCCCCCATGGGGGTGCAGGCGCGGGGAAGACCCGAGTGTCCACACCCCAAGCCTGGTCACCCGCCGGAAGGTGTCCTTATCTAACGCCCGGCCCTCCCCACCCCGCAGGCACGCTGGGGTCGCAGGGCACCCACCACAGCCAAGCTCGTCGCTGGAGGCAGGGCAGTCGGGATGGCCGTCGCAGAGCCAGGTGCGGGGGATGCAGGCACCGCCCCACAGGCAGCGAAGCTCCCCGGCCGGGCAGGGCTGGTGACTGCAGTTGTGAACGGTGTGGTCGAGGCCATCTGGGCAGTCGTCGATGCTGTCACAGGGGCAGGGGCTGCCAGTGGGCGGCAGGCACTGTCCGTCCCGGGCGCAAGGCTTGATGCCTGAGGTGCAGGGTCAGTCAGGTCCCAAACACCCACCCAAGAGAGCTGGGGTACTCTCCTCCACCCGGCCTCCGGTGACCCCTGCCTTCCAGGAACAGGCGACCCTGTAAAACCCACCCACCCTGAAGATGTCTCCCTGTTCGCTTGACCTTCCAAGGACCGGCCTCCCTGAAAGCCCCTCCTCCCAAGGCCCCACTAAGCCCACCTACCAGGAAACCCACCTCTTCTCAAACCGGCGACCCTGTAAGCCCTGTCCACCCTCGGGCCCCGCCCCATCGTGCCAGCCTGAAAGCCCCGCCCCTTCCACAAGCACCTCCCCTCCTGCGGCTCCGCCTCCTCAAGCCCCGCCCCCAGGGGGGCGCTGCGACTCACCACACTCCTCCTCATCGCTGCCATCCGGACAGTCCTTGTCGCCGTCGCAACGCAGAGGGAGGGGCACGCAGAAGCCACTGGTGCGGCACTGGAAATTGGTGGGCGGGCACGAGCCTGCAGGACGCACACAAGTGAGGTCTGGGAGGCCCGAGTCTTGGCCTCCGCCAGGGACACAACGTTACTGACTGACCACCAGGAGACCGGCCAGGTCCCAGGGCGCTGGAATGCCCCTGGTGGCCACCGTTTGCTGAGGACCCACTACGTGTGAGGCTTGCAGCGGAGCAGTTCACAGGAAAGGTCCTACTGCCCCCCCCCACCATGGTGCAGAAGACACCCAGGAGAGATAAGGTCCCAGGCTGCCGAGCTGGTGGCAGCTTCGAGGTCTGAGCCCAGGTCTCCGTGATCCAAAAGTCTACCAGGCGTGTCTCCAAGATCCATGGTTAAACAGGCTCGGGTAGGGGCCATCTGTGACCCGCCCATGGTCAGGGTCAGCAGGGCAGGTTGTATCCCACCTACTCAGCACAGGGGAAACTGAGGCCCTGGGCAGAGGACCTGCTTCATCACCAGGGCCTATCCACTCACCTCCTAAATTCCGCCCGGATCCGACCACTTTCCCCATCTGAAATGTGCCACCTCCTAGCCAGGCCCCACCCCCTCGGGACACTGGAGACCTCACAGAAGCCCATCATTCCATCACCCACCCTTGCCTCCCCTCTGCTCAAAATCGTGCCCTGGTCCCCTGACCCTCTCGCACCGAATCACTACTTTTCCCGTGTGGCCCCAGTGCCTGGCCCAGCACAAAATGCTTCCTGAACCTCACCCTCATTCTTCTTCCTCATCCAGCACCCTATGTCCTGGCCTTCCCAAGGTTCTCCAAGAGGCCTGGTTTGTTTCCCCCTCCGGGCCTTTGCTTGTGCTGTTCCTTGGTCCAGTGCACCCTTTCCTGCCCCCACTTTGCAACTGGTGATTCCTCCCCAACCTTTAGATCTCAGCTGCTTTCCTGGGAGGGGTTTCATGAGACTCTCGGATGCCTGAAGCTCTACCTGCCTCTTAGAACAACTGTGTTCAAACTGGTGTCCACACAGATGGTAAGGACGCTCAGTGGAGATCAGGGCCAGGACCTTGTGACCGCAAGTCCAGGGCAGCAGCTGACAATAAGTGGATACAGGTCACACAAGGGTCCAGGCTGAGTCCGGACGAGATCTGGGCCTTCCGGGACCCTAGGCAGTGAGGCTCAGGCTGCATGCTGACCTGCTGGAGCAGCACAGAAGGGCCTGGAGCCAGGGCCAGCAGGAGGGAGTCTGAGCGACAGAGGAAGGGAATGGCCTTGAAGGCTCCCCTCCCAGGTGCAGTAGGGCAGGTGACAAATACCTGGCCTGGACCCAGCCTGGTCCCACCCCATTCGATCCTGCCCTTCTTGCCAACCCTACCTTTACTCACGGGCCTCAGCCTCCAAACCCAGTGCTCCACAGGCCTCCAGGCCCAAAGGTACCTGTGGCCCACACAGTCCCCAAGCGTGGCGGAGCCCAGAAGAGCTGTGGCCAACCTGGAGCCAGCTTCCTTCCCTGCCCCTGGGGGTCTGGCAGCCCCTGGGCGAGGCTTCCTTTCCAGGCCCGGCCGCTCTCGGCCCTGCCAACCCCCCACCTCCCTCCCTGGAGTGCTTGGCCTTCCTGGAAAATGGGAGACAGAGCACAGCAGACCAGGCCTCGTGGGGTCAGACAGGAGGGGAAACGACCAGTGACTCAGTTTCCTCCCCTGTAAAAGGGGTTTGCTAGGAGTCCCCACTTCAGTGTCCTGAGGAGAGGAAACCACTTGTTGTGGGGTTTGGAACTTGGTTAAGGGGAGTCCTGCCTCCTTAAAGGAACCAGGAAGATTTAGCCTATAAAGGTAGGGACTCCTCGGTGAGGCGGGGGACAGATAAGGTGAGAGCTCAGGTAGGAATGGGTTAAGTGTGTGAATCTGCGCTCAAGGCTGAAAGCCAGGGTCACCTGTGCCTACGGGAAGGTCACTCCCCGCCAAACTGACTCTGGGAACCTCAGAGAGGGCCACCAAGATCACTTAGGCCCAGGCGCATGTGTCCAGGGGCCTGGGGGTGACAGGGAGGGAGGAAAACCTTTCCTTCTCTAAGGCCAGAAGAGAAAGGTGCAGAGATGGGGGAGAGCGGGGGCCTGGTGGCCCAGGAAACTCAGCCACATGGCCTCAGGGTCTGGCGAGGGTTTAGGAGGCGCAGCCGCTCCCAGAGGCGCCAGGTGACCGGCTACGCACAGCTAGAGGTCAGACAACCAGAGCCTGCAACAAGCCTTCCTGCCCACGCTGGGCTGAAGGTCGGCTTGGAGGTGACAAAGGGGTCCGACAAAGCCGAGCAGGAGTGGGGTGTGGGCAGGGTAGAAACAGAGTAGTTAAAGGCAGGCAGAGCCACCCAGGCGAGGGTCCCCAGCTGGGGACGGCTGGCTCTCAAAGGCCAGGTTCACCGCACACCGGAGTCCCGAGCCACGTGCCGGGGGAGTGTCCGGGACAGACCAGCGAAACAGCCAATGGCGAGGAGCCGCCGGCGCGCGGGGTGGGGTCGGACCGCCGAGGGGCACGCGCGCGGGCTGCGCAGAGCTCTCACCTGGGCTGTGGGCCAAGAACGGGATCGGGACTGGGGTCGGCGCGGCCTCCAGGCCCAGTCCGAAGCCGAGCAGCAGCCGCAGCACCAGGCCCAGGGCCGCTGTCCGCCGGGCTCCGCCCCGCGCCATGCAGCCGCTCGCCGCACCGCCCCTGCCCTGGCACTGGGCGCGCGCGGGCCGGCCTCGCTTTTATCCCAGCGCACGCGCGCAGCGGACGGGGGCGGGGCCCACGCCCCCAGGTCCTCGCGGCGCCCGCGGCTAAGATCACCGTAAATGTCCGAATATGGGGACACCCACGATTTGAGGCTCTAACACACTTTTCTCAGTGACAAGGTATGTCGAAAGGTGTTGGGTCCATTCGAAGTTAAAAGCTAATGGGGATGCAAAGGAACTTGTCGGGTCTACTCAACATTAAATGTTTCGCATGCATCCTACAGCAAATGTGACTGTCCAATTATCATACTTAATATGGCAGCCTCTCCCTCCTGCCTTTCTATACTCTAGTTTAGGGTCTGGCGACTACTAAGTCAGCGGTAGGACTGGAATGCTGGGTTGCTCGCTGTATCCTCAGTGCCTAGAAGGGTCTGCCACAATAGTAGGCTCTTAAATATTCCGTGAATAAATGAATAAAACGCTTCCAGTGCCCGGCTTCTATCATGGGTCCTGTCCTCGCACCTGGATGTCCCTGTAAAGGCACGGACTCCGCGGTGAGGCGGGGGACCAGATAGGGCGAGAACTCAGGAAGGGGGATAGGTTAAGTGTGTGAACCTGAGCTCACAATTGAAAGCCAGGTCACCTGTGCCTACTGGGAGGTCACTCCCGCTGAGCTGACTCTGGGAACCACAGAGATGGCCACCAAGATCACTTAGGCCAGACGCGTGTGCTCACTCACGGCCACCACGCTTCATTCGGTCTTCATAGCCCACCTCCTCCAGAGGTGGGGGGTTTTTCTTCCGGAACAAGATCCGCAAAGGCAGCCCTGGGGCTATCTCTGGTCATGCTCACCCAGAAGGCACAGAAAATACAAACCGTCTGCCGGCTTCCTATCCAATCAGCTGCTGTGTTGTCTTGAAAATAAATATTTTATCTACAGCTCTGCCTTCAGGAGAAGCAACATGTTGGACTGCCAGCAGAACCTCAGCGTTGACAGGGGTGCAAGCATTTACCCCGCCCCCTCCCCCCCCATTCCCCATGAAGCAACACTAAAGCATCCAGATTTTCCTACAAGGGGCTCTGCGGGTTGTTGGCATGATTCAGTATGAGAAAATGTTGAAGGTTTTAGCTGCTTTTGGAGCGTGTAACATATGTTGGGGTTTTTTGTTGTCGTTGTTTCAAAACCTCCCAGATTCCCCAGAGTAGAGGCTCAGCTTCCTGGCGAGAGGGCTCCGGGGTGCAGGGATAACAGCTGAAGAAGACATCCATTTGTAGCAGCTGGGCACAGACTCCTGTCAGGTTCAAGCCAGAGTTCAGTGAGCCTGAGCGAGTTCCTGGTCCTTCCGTTCCTATTTTTCTGTCCAGGGAGTATGGCAACAGCGATGACCTCACAGGATAGCTCCAGGAAGGAGCTGAGATCAGATAGCATTTACGACAGCACCTAGTAGGCAAGAGGGTGAGGTGTCAGGCTTCTTTCCCACCCCCACTCCCTTGCCAAACTTCAAGTCTGGGTCCGAAAAGCCTGCCTCTGCGGAAGCCCTCAGGGCTGCCTACCCAGTGGCCTCGGGACACACGGCCCAGCCTTCCTCTCCTTCCTGATCTTCTTCCTGAATCGGACTCCCCCTTTGCTCCAATTAGAGTCCCACCTCCTCTAGAAAGCCTCCCCGGGCTTCAGCCACAGTTTTCTCCCCTCGAGCATTTATCATCTGCGTCGTCCACGCTGGGGCTCCCTACATACCTCCTGCCCGGGACGGTTCCCCTTCCCTGCCTTGCTCTATGCTTCCAGAGAACACGGCATTCTCAACAGCCCGATCTTACCCCACGGAAGGGTGGTGGGGTTCTTCCACAGGACAGCCGGACTTGGGCTACTTCTTTTGTGGCTTCCACACAACTGCTCATTCCTCTTAGGACCAACCCCCCCTTCTTCCCCTAGGCTGACTCCACCTCCCTCCCCAGGGCCTGTGCAGAAAGGGTTTCTGGCTCGGGGAGGCCTCTCCTCGCCTGCCCCCCGTCAAGCCTTCCTGTGAGTTGCCCGGCTGTTCTCTGCCACCCCAGGAGCTGCAAGGCGGTCAAGGTCAGAAGGGGGCATGCGGTGGGAGGGTACTGGCCCGTGGCCCCAGAAGCAACTGCTGCGGGAGCTCTTGACGTACTTAATGGCGAGGTTGTGCTCCGTCTCACTGTCCCTCAGTCGGTGCCCCCCAAACACCCAGAGGCCCTGGAACCCACCCCACTGCTATGTTAGCCAGGCCTTCAGGGAAGGGATGGTGACAACTCTAGATGCCCTGCCCCTGGACCCCGTGTCATCTGACCTGTGCCCAGCGACGGCGTGTTACCCCGAAGCTCAAGAACCACCATCCCGCCCCTGCTCCTGGAGTGCTGACAGAGTTCAGAGATTCAGCACCAGCTTCACCGGGAAATCCACAGAAGCCGTGTGTAGCTTCGAAAGTAAAAACAGAAGTGACACCGGAGAGCGGGGTGTATTTGTCATAAATTAGGTCCCGGTCTCCCCGGAGGGAATACAAGGAGGGGAAGCCCTCAGGTGGCCCTGAGGGCCGGGCCAGGTGCCCCAGGGTGCAGTCACAGGTAAGGCTGGTCCTTGGACAGCTCCCACCTCTTTATGGGAGGAGCCGGCGACACGGCCTTCTTCTCAGTGGTAGCGGCAGGTGAGCTGGAGAGGAAAACGGATTTGGGTTAGGGTCGGGTCTCCACAGAGCAGCGCGCGTGGATTTGGGGTAGCTCACACCTGCGCCCAGCAGGAACGTGCCTGCCGAGACTGTGGGTGTGAGGCCAGAGTGAGGGTGCTCCAGAGGCCCAAACTCATTCACTGGGGTCCCCCAAAACGTCAGCCAACCCTTGCTGGGAACTGGCCAGCCCCCTTCCTGCCCAAGCCCCGTGTGAACCCCCCGTCGGCCTGCCCTGGCTCCTGAGCTCAAAGCCAGCCCTGAATAGCTGGGCTCCTTCCTCAGCACCCCTTCCCACCTGCGGCCCCAGGGTGGACGAGCACCCCATTCCGGTTGCCCCCAAACAGGACACTGGTAAAGGGTCAGGCGATCAGGTGCCGCATGCCAACTGCTCTCTCCTCCCTCAGGCACTGCACCCTTGCTCCACGGCAGGCACTGCACATGCCCCAGCACGGCGCTAAGACCAGGCCCTGGCCGCAGTCCGATGGGGCTGAGGGTCAAGTGCGATTAAAAAATACCCCATCCAGGGGCGCCTGGGCGGCTCAGTCGGTTCAGCGTCCGACTGCAGCTCAGGTCATGATCTCACGGTCCGTGAGTTCGAGACCCGCTCGGGCTCTGTGCTGACAGCTTGGAGCCTGGAGCCTCCTTCGGAGTCTGTGTCTCCCTCTCTCTCTCTGCCCTCCCCCCCCCCGACACTGTGTCTCTCTCTCTCTCCTTCAAAAATAAGTAAACATTAAAAAAAAAAATGTATTTTAAAGATACCCCGTCTGCCCCAGAGTGAGCCCTAAGGAGACACTGTGGCAACAACTCCAAGGCAAGTGCCTCCCGACCCAAGCCCCTGGTGCCTAGGACTGGGAGGCTTGCACACACGGTAAGCAAAAAGGGAGAGGAGGCAGGCAGGCAGGCAGGCTCTCGTGGATGAGCCTCCCAGGAGCAGGGATTCCAGGGCCGCCCAGCCTCCCAGGAGCCTGAAGGAGGTAGAAGAGGCAGAATCAGCCTCCCTAGGAGATGCAGGCATCCCAGGGGCAGGTGAGGAGGTATGGGGGGAATAGGGTGGTTTGCCACAGTCTGGTGCGGGACTCCGGGGACTCAGAAGATAATAAGGACCACGACCCAGGCCATTCACTGAGTTCTAACTATACAGCAGGCCCGTCCTGGCCTCATCACCTTCCAGACCTTGTCATACTGCAAGCCCACCATCCCCATTTTACAGATGAAGAAAATGAGGCTCAAGAAGGCATGAAGGGTTGGCTTCAGACAACACAGTGAATTGGCTGTAGAGACCAGACAGCACTGAGGGTCTGGGCAAACTGCTTTGAAATCCTGCTTCTGCTACCCACTGGCTGTGTGACTCAGGCAGGTCAACTGGCCTCTCTGTGCCTCAATTTCCTCTTCTGCAACAGGGCCGTCACCGCCTAACTTGTGATTAGTAGGCAGGCAGGGCATTGACTCCATCCTAAAACCTTACAAATGTTAATTATGGAAATTAATCCTCATAATAACTCTGCTACAAATTGAATGTTTTGTTTCTCCCAAATTCATATATTGAAATCCCCGCCTTCGGTGTGATGGCCTTTGGAGGTAGAGCACTTGAGAGGTGACTAGGTCATAAGGGAGGAGCTCTCATGAATGGAGTTAGCACCCTTGTAAGAGACCCTAGACACCCATTACCCCTTCGACCATGTGAGGACATACCAAGAAAATGCCATCTGTGAGCCAGGAAGATACCCTCACCAGACATGGAATCTACAAGCACCTTCATCTCGGACTTCCCAGCCTCCAGAACTATGAGAAACATAAGTTTCTGTTGTTTTTAAGCCACCCCACTCTTTGATATTGTCATAGCCACCCGAATGGACTAAAATAAATTCCCTACAGTAGATATTATGGCCCCATTTATTTAAGAGAAGGCGCCTGAGGCCAGGGACAAACTGAGTTTTAAGGGGCCTGAAATTTACATAATTCTTTAAGAAGGGTATGAAGAAAATATGGTGTGTGTGCATATATATGTATACATACACACACACGCATATACACAGAGTGGAATACCGTTCAGCCATAAAAATGAATGTCTCCATTTGCAACAATATGGATGGACTCTGAGAGTACTCTGCTAAGTGAAATATGTCAGAGAAAGACAAGTACTATAGGATGTCACTTATGTGCAGAATCTAAAAACAAAACAAAAAAATGAAAAAAGATACAGATAAAAAGAACAGATTGGTGGTCACCAGAGGCAGCAGGCAGGTGGGGGGGGGCGGGGATGAAATGCGTAAAGCAGGGGCACCTGGGTGG